TTTTTATTATTGAGTAGTATTCCATTATATGGATTACATACACAATTTGTTTAACCATTTACCTGATGATGGACATTTGGGTTGTTTCCAGTTTTTAGCTGTCATATATAAAGCTGCTAAAAACATTCATGTGTGTACTTAACGATAAATACCTAGGAAAGGAATGACTGGATCACAGAGGAGGTGTATGTTTAACTTTTTGAGAAATTGCCAAACTGGTTTCTGAAGTTTATACTATTTACATTCCCATTAGCAGTGTAAGAGAGTTAAAATTGTTCCACATGATTGCCAGCACTTGGTATGGTCAATCTCTTAATTTTAGCTTTTCTAGTGTGTAGTGTTATCTCGTGTTTTAAATCACATTTCCCTGATAATCAAGAAAACATCTTTTCATGTGTTTATTTGCCATTTGTATATCTTCTTTAGAGAAATGTCTGTCCAAAATTTTTGCTGAGCTGCATATACTTTTAAAATATATTTTAGATACAAATCCTTTGTTCTTTATATATCCTAGGAATATAAAGAGGTTTTTAAAAAGTATATTCTAGGTACAAGTCCTTTGTTGGATATATGTTTTGCAAATATTTTCTCCTACTGGTGACTGTGTTTTCACTTTCCTAATGGTATCTTCTAGAAAGCAAAATTTTTAAATTTGAATGGATCTAGTTTGCCAACTTTTTCTTTTATTGCTAGCATTTTTTTGTGTGTCACATCTAAGAATTCTTTGCCCAGCCCAAATTTATGAAGATTTTTTCTCCTATGTTTTCTTCTGGAAGTTTTATAGATTTGATCTTCCACTTAGGTTTGCAATCCATTTTCAATTAGTTTTTGTGTATGGTGTGAGGTAAGGGTAGAGGCTTATTCCCCCCCCCCCCCCACGCAGATATCCAGTTGTTCCAGCACCATTTGTTGAAAGGATGATATTTCCCCCAAAGTATTCAATCTTTTGCCATTAACTATGATGTTAGCCTTAAGTTTTTTACAGATACCAGGTTGAGGGACTTCAGATTGAGGGAGTCCCCTTCTTTTCCTACTTTGCTGAAGGTTTTTATCAAGAATAAACGTTGGATTTTGTCAGTCCTTTTCCTGCATCTACTGAGGTGATCGTATTTTTTTTCCTTTTTCAATTTGTTAATATGGTGAATTACATTAACTGATTTTTTTTTTAAGATTTTTTATTTATTTATTCATGAGAGACAGAGAGAGAGAGAGAGAGGCAGAGGCAGAGGGAGAAGCAGGCTCCCAAGGAGCAGGGAGCCCGATGTGGGACTCGATCCCAGGACTCTGGGATCATGACCTGAGCCGAAGGCAGACGCTTAACCATCTGAGCCACCCAGGCGCCCTACATTAACTGATTTTCAAATATTTCTCCAACCTGTCATTTTTCAATAAGTCCAACTTATTTGATGAATTATTCTTTTTAATTTTGGGGGGGCATTTGTGTTCATAAAGGATATTGGTCTGTAGTTTTCTTTCCTTGGAATGTTTTTGTCTGATTTTGGTATCAGACTAATGCTGGCCTCATAGAATAAGTTGGGAAGTATTCATTCCTCTTCAGTTTTCTGGAAGATTTTATATAAAATTGGTATCTTTTTTCTTCCTTAAATGTTTGGTAGAAGTCACCAGTGAAGACATCTAGGCCTGGAGTTTTCTTTGTGGGAAGATTTTTAGATTTTTTATTCATTTATTTGACAGAGAGAGAGAGAGCACAAGCAGGGGAAGCAGTAGGCAGAGGGAGAGGGAGAAGCAGGCTCCCCACTGAGCAGGGAGCCCAATGTGGGGCTCAACCCAAGGACCCCGAGATCATGACCCGAGCCCAAGGCAGACGCTTAACCAACTGAGCCACCCAGGTGCCCCTGTGGGAAGATTTTTAACTATAAATTTAATTTCTTTATTGGACATTGGGTTATTCTTCTCATCTATTTCTTCTTGAATGTGTGTCACACTTTTGCTTAAAGCCCTCAGTGTTTCCCCGCACACCTACCTAAACCCTGGCTGTAGCTCACAGTCTGTTTACTTACAGGGCCTTGTCTGGTCTGTTCCTGCCCTCCTTCCCAGCCTCATCTACACAGTAGTCTCCCCTCACTCACCATGTTTCAGTCACATCAGTCTTCTGGTTATTCCAAGATTATGTCAGACTCTTCCCCAACTCAAGGCCTTGACATTGCTTTTCCCTCTCTCTGGAAAGCTCTTTCACAGGTTCCTCATTCTCATCCCTTAGGTCTCAGATTATGTGTCAAGGAGGTCTTCCCTGACTATTATATTCAGCGTAGGGCCTGCTGGATACTCTCTCACACAGAATCCTGTTTCCTTCCCATCCGTAATATATTTATCTCATTCTGTCACCATTTTGTTTGCTTATTGTTAGCTCCCTAAGAGAAGGAATCTTGTCTGTCTTGTTCACCGCCTCATCCTCCACACCCAACATGAGATCTGGCACAAGTGAGGTGTTCAATTACTATTTTTGGTATAAGTGGACTCACTTAGAGGGTCCATCAGGGGGTGAGGCAGGCAGTCACTTCTGTGAGCCTGCCCGTCAGGCTGAGGTTTTTGGTCAGCACGGAGTAGGTCAGGCAGGCACTGAGGGGGCCGTCTATCTATGGAGTGGATCTATGCGACTCATGAGCCCCCCTGTGAAGTCAGGCCAGGATTCCAGGGGACACAAAGAAGTGAAAAGCCGAGGCCCACCCCCAAGAAGCTCCTGGCCCACCTGTCTACCTGGAGGCTCACTGCTCCCTATTGCCCAACCAGGAGGTGAAATGGGGATGAGACAGGCCGAGCCGAGCCGGAGTCTGGTAGCCTTTCAAACCCCATGGAAACCTCACCTGGGGACTGCTGTGCTCAGGAGGAGCCTGTGCGGGCAACACAGAGAGAGCTTTGTGGCTTCTTTCCTGCCCCACCTCCCAACCTCCCCTGACCTGGGCCCTCTGCTCATGGAAAGTGCCCCACTGGACCTGGCCGCCTGGCCCCAGGAGACAGGCCATGGTGCACACCGCCCCTGCCTGCTCTCCATGGGGGCAGGACATGGGCCTGTGCACAGCTCCAGGCGTCACTCCTTGCAACTGAACCCATCCTACGTGCCCCTTGTCATAGACCAGAGGAGGCCCAGCTCCCCGGGCGAGGAAGAGACCTTGCATGGAAGCTAGCGACCTCACAGTTAACCCAAGTTTCCCAAAGAACCTCCCCGGCCCTGGGTCATGGGTGGGACTGGAGTGCCATCACAGATGAGTATGTGTCGGAGGGTGAAGCCACTGCCGGCAATAACTAGGTAGCAGCACGCAGGCCGCCAGCCATCACCGAGATTCCCTCCTGCTCACTGACAAACTCCATGACTAGGGGGCCCTGCTCCGGTGACATCATCCTCCTTGCACACTGCTGAGGGAAATGAGCTCAGGGCGACCATCAGAGGCAGTTTGTTTACTTACAGGGACCCTGGCTGTCAGCAGCTCTTTGACCAGACATTCCCTGGCCTAGCCAGCATGAAGCAGAAGTTTCCTTAAACATATTATTTTGGCCTCAACCCACCACTCGCTCCCTTGTTTTCAGTTTTGGTTGTTTTGTGTTTTTTTTTGAAAAAGGAAAATTCCCGGTTTTAGCCCCAAATTGAGTGGCCCAGGGGTGGTGGGGGGAGAGCATAATGACCCCCAGAAGACCTTTTAGAGGTTAAGTTGCTCCCACCTCCCCAGTAATCCCTGGAGCTGGGAGATCATCAAACCAATTCTCAGTCACCCATGTGTGCATGGGATCGGCGGGGGGATGGCCGGCATGACCTCCAGGGCAGACCCTCTCCTTCACGGCTTCCCTCATGGCCTCGGCCCCCCTGAGTTCATACTCAAAGCATTTCCCAACTCAGCAATGCTGGCTAGGCCCTAGACCTCTCCCTCATTCCCTTCGGGTCAGGGATATTTCAGGAGAGCCCAAGAGCCGCCAGTTTTCACAGGCTCCAGGGGATTCCCAAGATGGCCACCCCCACCAGCCCTGGCTGAGAGGCACTGTCACTTGTCCTTCCCCAACTCTCTTCATATTGTTCCTGCTGGAACTTAGCCATTCTAGGGGCCTTGAGAGGACAAGGGTCACAGAAGGGGCTTCTCAGTCTTCCCAGTGCCCCAGGATCCTCAGGCTACCTTTGCCAGCAGCAGAGCAATGCCCTCCCAGGAGTATCAATCACGGGAGACAGGTGCCCTTTGCCTAGCTGGATCTGCCCACTATTGGGGCTGGTCAGGCAGGCCCAGACGTGTCGGGGAGCCTGAGGCCTTACCTGACCCAGCTCTGCCCTGTGGCTTCATCCTACTTAGCTCAGCATCCTACAGCACCAGGGAGGGGCTCAGGGGCAGAATCAGGTCAGAAGAGGGCATTGAACCTGCACTTCACCGCGCTCTACCTAAGACTGAGAAAATGTCACGGGTCCACATTAGAGAATAGGCTAGAGGGCATGGCTCACACACAGATCTGATCGGCAGCTTCTTAGAAGGCACTGATTTTCTCACCCAACTGTCCCTGCCCCCCCAACAAGGCCAGAACTCCCTGAACATGTGGTCCCATCATTTCAATTAATCAACACGTCTACTGAACCCAGAATCTGTAAGGTATGGAAGCTGGAAAGAGCCTTGATAAGGACAGAAGCTAACATTTATTGAACATCTACCGCGAGCCTGACTTTACACACATTATTTTAGTTAATCCTCATAACTCTGAGGGAGATTAGGAGACACAGCAGGGCGCCTGGATGGCTCAGTTGGTTAATTCAGCTCAGGTCATGATCCTGGGGTCGTGGGATGGAATGCCTTATAGGGCTCCACGCTCAGCAGGGAGTCTCTTCTCACCCTCTCCCTCCGCCCCCCCCGCCCCGCTCGCACTCTCTCTCTCTCTCAAATAAATAAATAAATCTTTTTAAAAAAATAAAGGAGACACAGCTTGTATAGAGCAGAGATGGGATTCAAACCCAATTCTGTCTGAACCCACAGATTCTACAATTAGGCATTCCTCCATTTGACTTCTAGAAAATAATTAACTCAGGAAATCAATCACACTCCTTCTGTAAACCAAGCAAGCAAGGCCCGTAAGTTAACGACATGGTCATGCAGCCCCTCCATTCTACAGATGAGGAAAATGAGGCCAGATCACAGAGGAGTCTTTTGTTGAGCTTAGGACAGTGACTCCAACTCAGATCACTGCCCCTTGTTCTGTGTTGCTGAATTCCAGCGAAGAAGTCAGAGGAGTTGGGAATTCAAAATCAAATCCATCCCTCTGGCTTACTGGGACTAAGCATTTTATTCAGCAGTTTGTTGTTGTGACTTACAACATTTAAATATTTAGACCTATGAATTTAAGCCTTCATTTGTACTCTCGCCCTGGTTCTTGCAAACATTAGGAGCTACCCTGGAAACCTCTCTAAACTCCCAGTGCCCGGTGTTCACAGAGCAAGCACTTTAAAGATAGCTCTTAGTAAATGAGAAAATAATTTTGTGAGTGAATTGAATGAGTGAATGAAGGCTTCTGCACAAATGTAAATAGACAGGCATATACACTTTCAGGCACTCACCAAAACATTACTGACAAATATCTACCCAGACTCCCAGAGATGCATGGCTAAACTTACATCTAGGAAGAGTGGTACATGTTTATACCAAAATAACCTAAATGCTCACATGCATACTCCCGCAGAAGCATGTAGGCAGATGTAGACTCACTCATCTACGCAGTTCCCTTGAACAGACCCACATACATGAGCTTACACAGAGATGTGGACTCATAGATAGGCTAGCTGGCAAACACAAGTACACGCTTCCCTGCCGAGAAAGACAGCTCCGACCAGAAATACAGCCATCCAGACATACAAACACAGAACAGTCACATCAATTCACACTGATACCCGCAGCTAGACAAAGATGAAGCTGTAGGCCTGAGACAGACTGGGAGTGAGACCCTGTCCACAGAGACCCCTGGGCTACCCTGGGCTCCCACACTGTGGGCCGCCCTCCCCCTTCCGTCTGCGGCCAGAGGGGGCTCCTAGAGGAATTCCTTTTGCAGACTGGCTGAGATCTCTCTCCTCCCCCGCAATCCCAGGCCAGAGTCCCACAGGCAGGGAAGCATGGCGTGCGCTGGGGGTGCTCCCCCTTGCCAAGGACTCTGCCCTCTGTCCCCGGGCACCGCCCATAGCCTGCCAAGCCCAGGCTGGGCGCTGGCCTCCAGACAGAAACAAAGCTGCACTCAGGTCCTGCTGCCCCAGCTCTGCTCCCAAAACCATGATTTAGGAGGGGTTGGTGAACAACACTTTTCCAGAGGCCTGACTTCCTCAGGAAATGGCTCAGCCACAAGCCTGCTCTCCAAAACAGGCGTAGGATGAAAACACCTCTGCTCCTCTCCAAACACACGCCCCGCCCCCCCCCAGAGCCCCTATGTAATTCCAGCCACAGCATCCACAGCATCCCAAGGCAGTGGAGAGCAGTGAAAGGCCCAGCGTCTAGTCCTGCTTCAGCGGCTGACTCGCTGTGTCCACCTCCATAGAATGAGCCATTTGCGTGTGATGCGTTCGGATGTAGCTAAAATGATAGAGAAGTCTCAGATTCCCCAGGCAGTCTCTGGGTAAGGGTGAGGGGCTCCAACCCCGGGACAGTGGCCTGGTGTGGGCCTCCTCTTAAGTCACAGGGTCATTATTACAAGCACAGAGTTTGTCCCAGGAATGCCTTGAAACTGAGGTGCCTCCTGCTGAGGCAAAATGAGGACTCAGGCGGGGTGCCTGGGGGGCTCAGTCGTTAAGCATCTGCCTTCGGCTCAGGTCATGATCCCAGGGTCCTGGGATCGAGCCCCGCATCGGGCTCCCTGCTCAGCGGGAAGCCTGCTTCTCCCTCTCCCACTCCCCCTGCTTGTGTTCCCTCTCTGGCTGTATCTCTCTCTGTCAAATAATAAATAAAATCTTTAAAAAAAAAAAAAGAGGACTCAGGCAAGGGAATGTCCTGTGTGGCCTGGAGACAGCGGTCTCTCCTCCCCCTTTCCACCCTCCCGCCAGGTTCCCTAGGCCTCTGCTGGAGGTGGACACAGGGCTGCGACCCCACCCAGCCGGGTGGGCCAAGACTCTGGAATGTTGCTCAGCACAGCTGACCGGACAGGGGAGACTGTTTATTCTCTGCTGTCGGGAACATCTCAGACGATCAGGGGCATTTGCCTGCTGGCAGGCTCTGGATTGGAGGACTCCAAGAAGTCAGCTTAATCAGAGCAGGCTGATGGCCTGAGCTCTGGGAAGGCAGCAGAGGTGGAAGGGAGGGGCCACCCCTCCCTGCCCCGCATTCCATGCCTTGTGCCTCTGAGCTCACCCCCTGGGTCTGCAGTGGCGGGGGGGGGGGGGGGGGGGGGGGGGGGGGGGGGGGGGGGGGGGGGGAAGGAGAACGAAGCTGAACCCAGAGCTCTTGTTAATAGTGTGGCTGTCAGGAGACTCTTTCCATGGTCCCATTCCCAGCATCCCAGGTGCCCCCTGCTTATGAGACATGGCGGAGCTCATGGCCTTAGCCTAGGAAGGGAGCTCATTTTGCATCCCCCAGACCCAGTATTGCCCATTCCAAACTCCCTACACCACCAGCCCAGATCCTTTTTGCTCAGGCAGCCCCTCTAGCTACAGCCTTGTGTTTGTCTGACTTCTCATTACTCCAGCTCTCGAGTCAGTTTTTTTTTTTTTTTAAAGATTTTATTTATTTATTTGAGAGAGAGAATGACATAGAGATAGCATGAGAGGGGGGAGGGTCAGAGGGAGAAGCAGACTCCCTGCCGAGCAGGGAGCCCGATGCGGGACTCGATCCCGGGACTCCAGGATCATGACCTGAGCCGAAGGCAGTCGCTTAACCGACTGAGCCACCCAGGCGCCCTCTCGAGTCAGTTTTGACGCTGCCTCTTTCAGGCCTTTTCACCTTGGGCAAGTCACCTCTCCAGGTCTGTTCCTTCTGTAAAATAAAGATTACAGTATCTGCCTCACAAGGATATCTGAAGACTAAATCGTTCTTCCAATACGCCCACCCTGCAGGCGGTACTGGAGAGATGGTAGTGCTTTTCTCTCCCATTCTTTCTTTCTAGTGGTGCAGACCCAACTTCGGGTCTTCCTGAGGGCCAGTCCCCTCCAGTGTAGCTTGTAACACCTGCCCTGATATTGCTGCTCCCAGACCTCAGAGTGCCTTGGGGTTCTGCAGGCTGGAAACCTCTCCGGAGAAGAATCCAAGTTGACCCAAGGAAGCCCTTGATGCGGAGGCTACAGAAGGCCCAGAACATGGTGGGCTCTTTTCGTGTGTTTTGCCCATTTCTCATTTTGCACATGTTTGAGCGTCTTGTCCAAAGGGTGTGGGGGCCAGGAAAAATTCATCAATCCTGACTCATTTGTTTGGAATTCATCTTTCTAAATATTTAATAAAGGGTTTACAGCAAAAATAATGAAGTTCCAGGATGGCAAAGGGTATTCGTTAAGGACCCCTCCCCACTGTATCCCCACAAGAGCCAAATTAAACTCTGTTAAACAAAAAGGAATTTATGGTTCGCAGCCAGAAGTCTGGCTTTAGGCACGACCGAACTTAGTACTCAACATCATCAGGACTCCGTTTTCCTTCCTCTCTTGGCTCTGCTCTGCATTGCGATGTCTGACTCTCACACTGAGGCCTTGGCGGGGTGGGGGTAGAGGGCGGAGCTGGACAGAACGCAAGCACCTCTTTCCCAGCAGCCCCTGCAAAAACCTTATGGTCTCCTATTGAGTCACATGTTGGTATCTGAACCAATCACTAAGGCCAGGGGAATGCAGCTTGCTGATTGGCTGAGGCCTGAGCCACTGCTCCGCCCCTAGAGTGTGTGGGCGGAAGGGGCAGTCTGCTTTACCCAGAGCCAATGAGAATGGAAAAGAGGTAGGTGTTCCGGAGGGAAGCTGGGGTTTGCGACCAGGAGGGTGAATGGACCATGGGCCACAAGAACAACAGGTGTCATCCAAAGGAAATCAACGGTTGGAAGAGCTAAGAAGACTAATACTTTTCAAGCACCCCCAAGCCCTCTAAAAGTAGAATTGATTGCTAGTTTTTAAATCCCTACAGATTGGGGCGCCTGGGTGGCTCAGTCATTAAGCGTCTGCCTTCGGCTCAGGTCATGATCCCAGGGTCCTGGGATCAGCCCCACGTTGGGCTCCCTGCTCTGCGGGAAGCCTGCTTCTCCCTCTCCCACCCCCTCTTAAAAAATAAAAATAAATAAACAAACAAACAAACAAACAAACAAATAAATAAATCCCTACAGATCTCTGAGAGGCAATGTGTTACTGGACGCATTTGGGATAGCCTTTATTTGCCTGGGAACAATAAAACTACATCTTTAAGCCAATCTGTAATCCATACTTCCCAGGAATTCATACTGGCTGGGTCTCCTTCCTGACCCCACTAGTGGGCAGTTTGACTGACCTGCCCAATGCTATGGGGGCTAGAAGGCCCTGTCAGCCCCACAGACTGTTTGTACCCGGGTCTTCCTTTGGCTAAATGGGCATTGAAAGAAGTTTGACTCCAGTGGCCCTGGCCTTCCCTTTCTCGCCCTGACCCCTCAAATCTCCTCTTGCCCTTGAATCTCCAGGGTTGCTTGCTTTCTACCACCACTCACCCCAATTTATTCCTAAATCCTGTTCTTAGAAGGGACTCTGTCACCAGTCACGTGTATATGAATAAGCATAAAATCAGTAGCTTAACCTTTCACAGGACTATTTGCATTTTAACTCTGAGCCTTTTCAGTGAAACAAAAGGCTCTGTCCTGCCTACCCCTGAATATTCCCAAAAGGAACACAGTGCAAATGGGACTCAGAAATCAAGCATCCAATGTCCACAACCTTCCCTGAAACCCTCACACATCCACATGGCCTTGCCATGCAGTTTTTTTTTCTCAAGTCTAACTTAAATCACCTTTGCTGACATTCAACCATTACTCTCTGCTATGGCAGGGAAGTTTCTTGCATCCTTTCATCCATTTATTCACTCAACAAACTTGAGTATCCACCATATTTTAGATTCTTGAGTATACCAAGACAGCCTGGGCCCTGCCCACAGCTTGCAGTTGAATTTAAATGCAGGAAACATCAACTTCACCAGCAGATTTTTAACGCACGCAAAGCCAGGCCCAGTGGCTGGTATACAGTAGGTATTCAATAAGTGCTACTTCCCTTCTCAGGGCTGCATGATGTGGAAAACACTGGAAATTTTCTAAAACCCTTTCCTGTGAACAAGAGTGCCAATGGGAGTGGGTGGAGATGGTGGTTTCTATCTTGCTTCAGAATGTCCTGATTTGTTTTGAATGTTCCAAATGTCAGGCTGGAGATCATACAAAGGAGAGGGGCTTATTCTAACCAGATCGGGGCTAGAGGCAGCCCAGGACACTGTCTCCCTGGTACACAGTCCCAGACAGTTTGGAAACAAACAGAAACCCATCCAGAGGAGGGAGACTGACAAAAGCAAAAACAAACAAAGGCCAAGAGATGGAAAACTCACGAGGTAGGGCAGGTGGAAAGGAGGGGAGCAGGGAGAGAGATGGGTGGGGGCTGTGGAGGGAGCTTAGGGAAGGGAATGGTCTTGGGGTTTTGTGTGTGTGCATGAGAAGCTGAACCCAGCTCCCCCCAACCAGCCCAAGAATCACCATGGCAACGGGGAGGGTGTGTACAGCTGATTCCAAGCCAACACAAAGCTCCAGGGCTCAGCAGCAGGAATGGGCTCAGATGCATGGGGTCAGGTTCTAAGGAAAAAGATCTGAATTGGGCTCTTTAAGTCACAAACGCCCTACCCACTCCTGGTTTTATTGGCAGTCAGTGTTTAATGAGATGAATTAATCAGAAACGACAGTGATCCACATTCCTCCTCCATGTCTCTCTCACATACATACGTACACTTACCCAAGAGCCCAGAGTAAAACCCCTTCCCTTTGTGGGGGGAAACTGACAGCTCATGGGATTCTTGGCACTTTCCAGAAGCAGGGTCCGAAGCTGTGGGAGTTCTACTTGCCATCCCCTCCCCAAACGTCCCCCCTGACAGTGGCGTTAGTGACAGAGGGTTGATGGGGTTGCTTTCACAAGACCAAGGCACCTGGGTCTCCCATGTGAGATGGCGCCAACTGAACCATCTGGTCTTCTCTGCCATCAGCCGCCTGCTGAAGCTCTTGGCCCTGAAGGGGTTTGTCAGCAAGGAGACTGCTTCTTCCCGCTTCATGAAAAAGTGTCTGCAGCGTGAGCCCCCCTGAGCTCCCAAACCCCAGCACCCAAACTTGCCCTTCCCTGGAGCTGGCTGGCCTCTGGGGTCCGCCTTAGATGTCAGGTTGGAGCTAAACAGAACTGTGAAACTTTGTCTCCTTCCTGCCTCTCCGTTCCCAGCTACCCAGGGATCTCACACTATCCCCCATTACCCTGGTCCAGGGTTGACTCATCCATTAGGCATAATACGCACAGGGCATAGAGTCCACATTATAAAAATGTTGTAATTTCCTTTAAAATCAGAAGGAAAAAACAAGCTTGTAAGGGGAAGCAAACATTTTAGTATTTTATTTATTTATTTAT